ATATCAGTATAACTCTAATAGTGAAGACAGTATGAAAAAGATCACTATCGCCCCAGCCTGTCCATAAGCATAGCTGCAAGAATTCTGAAGAGAATACTTTTTGAAATGACAAACGTGATTTCTTTCAGAAATGCAAGAGTCATTAAGCATTAGACAATTATTAACGTAACTCATCACATTAATAAACAAGAAAAAGCATATGCATCTCCAGAGAGTCAGAAAAAAGTTAAATAATATTCAGCATTCATTTATGATAAAAGAACAAGAATTAGCAAATTAGACACATGAAGAAATATCCTCACATATTGAACATTAGGAAAGGCAGAAAAATGTTGTGCACATCATACACATAGGCAGAAATCTTAAAAACATTCCTTTAAAATCATGACAAAAACAAGACCAGAATGTTTACTACCATCACTGCTGACAATCTAGAGGTCATGGTTGAGGTGTTCACAGACAGACGTAAAAGGTGGAAAGAACTAACACTTCTGCATATAATATGATTGCTTAAGAACAAAACCCCTGGGGCTGGGGATTTAGCTCAGCGGCATACATAAGAACCTGCCTTGCAAGCAGGTGGTCCTGAGTTCGATCCCCGGTACTGACTAAATAAATAAATAAATAAATAAAAAAGTTTCAAACCAAATGCATGGTTTAAAACAATAGGAATTTTTTAAAAAGAACAAAACCCCCAAGGAATCTGCAAATTATTTAATATCAGTATTTAAAAGCAATTGCACTGATATATATTATGAGCAAGTTGGTAGTAGCCTCTTTAAGGCCAATATTGGTGGCACACAACTGTAATTTCAGCACTTTGGAAGGCTGAGGCAGGAGGAAAACAAATTTGACCAGAGCCTGGATAAATAAGTGGCTTAGAAAAACTCTGTCTCAAAATTTAAAATTAAAAAAAAAAAAAGGAGCTCAATGCAAAGGCCATCACCACACCCCACCACCACAACCACCACACCCCACCACCACAAACTAAGTAAGTGAACTAAAAAGACTGCCTTTAAATGACAGCCGTGCCGTGGTGGTACCGTATCCTCTTCCTTCTCCAGACTTCCTCTCTCCCAGGCATTACATTGATTTCATAATGCAAGGCTGGAATTATTCGCCTTCTTGGGGTCATTACACACTCACTGTTCCTATTTACAATCCTCACCCCTGCTAATCCTGCTGTGGTGGCCTCAGGACTGCAGCACTGGGGACTGAACCCAAGGCCTTCACAGTGAGCTCCAGCCTTTTAAATTTGTTTTTATTTTAAGACAGGGTCTTGCTAAGTCTCAAAAGTGGCCAGGTGTGCATTACTATGCTAGCTTTTCTTTTTCTTTTTTTAATTTTATTTTAAAGAGGGTAAAACTAAACATAATAAAACAGAACAAAGCAGGTTAGAAGAAAACAATGTCAGTGACACAGATTTCAAAACAAGACAACAGCAGATCTACAGTGGCTACCATAATGTCTCTTGTTTTCTTCTAAATAGTTGTCCATATCTTCACACACAATGAATTCATACAAAACAAAATAGTATTAAGCTGATCTGAACAGAGTGATGAAGGCATTTTAGACTTTCAAAACCAGATGATAAGGGAAATCAACAATGGCTACCATAATGTCTCTAGTAGATGTTGGAGCTTAGGACTCTGGGAAGCCAAGCCAGCACCTCCCCTCCCTGGTAACCCGCAGTAGTTTAGCCCACTGCAGCCCTTCCAGGGGGAGAACTAGCAGTGTCTCCTGAGATCCACGCCATGTTGGAACTTAGGACTCTGGGAAGCCAAGCCAGCACCTCCCCTCCCTGGTAAGCAGAGGCAGGGTGGCAGCCTGCAGCCCTTCCAGGGGGAGAACTAGCAGTGTCTCCTGAGATTCACGCCATGTTGGAGCTTAGGACTCTGAGAAGCCAAGCCAGCACCTCCCCTCCCTGGTAAGCGGCAGTAGTGTGGCCCACTGCAGCCCTTCCAGGGGGAGAACTAGCAGTGTCTCCTGAGATCCATGCCATGTTGGAACTTAGGACTCTGGGAAGCCAAGCCAGCATCTCCCCTCCCTGTAAGTGGAGGCAGGGTGGCTGACTGCAGCCCTTCCAGGGGGAGAACTAGCAGTGTCTCCTGAGATCCATGCCATGTTGGAACTTAGGACTCTGGGAAACCAAGCCAATACCTCCAAAAAAAAAAATCCATGTAAATTATATGTAAGTTGCAGTACACCAAAATGTAATCCACTATTCTGTGCAATTTACATGAACTTATAAAATCATTTTCAGATTCTGTAAAATAAAAAAAAACTAATATGATTGATAGTATCAAGTTTGGGATTATAGGCAACTACACTGAAGAAGACAAGACCCTACGATATACATTCTGGTTTGATAACTGCCAGTTTTTGAAGTTCTATACTATATACAAAGTTGTGTTTTTATTAATACTGTTATATACCGATATATTCAGTTATACTATGTCTGATGATATAGCCAGTTCTATTGAAGATAACAAGAGACAACACAGGAACTATGGTAGAAGTCCTTGCACAATGGTCTTATATGTCTTTTTTGTTTCATGTGTTTATAGGAATATGTTTTGTTCTGTCTTGCTTTGTTTCATTTCTACCTCTAATATAGAAAGAACAGAAATACATGTTAAGACTCATGCATGTGTAGAATCTATAAACAGTTTATGAGAGCTGATCTTATGACACATGATGAAATGAACAGATACTGTGAGGAAAAAGAGTCACTAAGGAACCCAGTGCTGATTCTGGTGTGTCATAATGTGAAACCAAGCAATAGTATTATTCTCTGTGCAGAGTGATATTAGCCTGCTTGGGTTTTTTCTATCTCAACACAATTGAAGATATGGATAACTGCATGTATGTTTAAGTGTATAGGATTGATAACCATACTTCTATGTTTTTATTGGACAGTTGAACAGAACTGTTTGCAGTCTCGCTGTTTGAATTCTCACTCTACATGTTCCATTTTTGTATCTTGAATAACTATTTGTAAAATGACAATATGTAAACATCAACTAGTGATTTCTTACTGTTTATTTTTTCTCTGAATGCATGTATTATTTCTACCTATTTTCTGTTTTGTTTAGTCTTTCTTTAAATAAAATTTAGAAAAAAACATAATGTCTCTAGTAATGGTTCTTGTCAAAATAGCATATGTTGAAATTAAATAATACAAAACAGACTAACACCACTCTGAACAAAGAATAAAAGCATTACTGGTTTTCGCAACACAATGATAGGAAATCAGGAATGGATACCATAATGTCTCTTTTTCTTCAAAGTAGCTGTTCATTTCATCATGCATAATTTTTCTTCTTTTTTAAACAACTTTATAGAGGTATGAGACACAAAACCTATAAATATTTCATACATACAACTTGATGAATTAAGATGTAAGTCCCCGTGTCGGTCCCCCCCCCCCCCCCCCGCTGACACTGTGGTCTCTGAATGAATCCCTGTGAGGATTAGGGGAAGACTCCCTGGTTACAGCACAGCCTTGCTCAACGCCATTCTTGTCGGTTCTAGGATTTATGGTTATCAGAAATAAAAGCCAGTTAACAAGCTCTGCTTTGTTTCTATGGTGATAACTAACCAACTCCAAAATTTCAGCACGAAGTCCCAGTTACCTACCTCTGTCTGTCTCTGCTGCTGCATCTCACCCTCCGCAGGCCTCACTCACTCTGCACAGCCACAGCCCCAGCCTGCTGTCCCCAGACCTCGTGTGACCACCACACTCTTCTCACCAGTCACCCCCAGGCTTCTCCCAGCATCGCTCACCTGAAATGCACTGAAAACATACCACGAGTCTAAAATACACACCAGCTTTTTCAGACTTACAAGGATTAGGATATAAAAATGCAAAATATCTCATTAATAATTTTACATTGTATGCTGAGATAATATTTAGCATATGTTGGGTTAATTTTAAAAGCTATGTAACTTGTTCACGTTTTATAATGTGACAATTCAAAAATTTTAAATTGCATTCATGCCAGGTGTGGTGGCACTTGCGAGGCTAAAGCAGGAGTATCACCACTAGTTTGAGGCCAGCCTGGGCTCCTTAATGAGTTCTAGGTCAACCTAAACTGCATAGCAAGACCCTGTCGCAAACAAAACAAAACAAAACAACAACAACAAAAACCAAGTAAAATAAAATAGCATTCACAGTTCTCACTGTACTTCTATCATTTTACCATCTTTGGTGACCTTCTTGGCTCTGGGCATTGTGTGGAATTGTAGCATCCATACTTTTTTACCTTGCTAGTGTCTTCTTTACACAACTAGAACATAAGACAGGCACCTTGTCTGTCTCATTCACACTTAATTCCCAGGCCTGGAGGACTGATCCAGGAGCATGGTAAGCAGTCAGTTTTGCTTTTGCTTTTATGTTTTGTTTTTTAAGAACTACCTGACTTCAGCTGGCATAGTAGTGCAATTCTGTAATCCCACCACTTATGAAGCTGAGGCAGGAGGATTGCTGTTTGAGGGCAGCCTGAAGTGCATAGCAAGATCTTGTCTACAGTAATAACATAACATAACATAACATAACATAACATAACATAACATAACATAACATAACATAACATAACATAACATAACATAACACATAACTGGTCCTCAGCCAGAGACAGTGAGTAATGTCACTCGTGCAGTCAACCCCCGCCCCAACACCACTTCTTCTCTTTGGGCTGTTTCAGACTGACCAGATGTTATTGATCCTAGGAGAAAAGGTTACCGGACCGTCCATACTTAATCTTTTTTAAACCTCATTCTCTGCAGAATGCAGTGGTCACTAGATTGCAAAGGTGATCATCATGTGAACCATCAATGGCAAAATCCTTTTTTTCTGGGAAACCCGCCCCAGGCCTCTCGTTAAGCACTTTTCCCTCCTGCCACACGGTGGCATCCGAGATCGCGGCTCCGATGGTACAATCCGTCCCCACCCGTGCCGCTCGTAGAGTGGGTCCTTCCAGCCGTAGAAAAGCATTGTGGGGTTGCGGCGCGGTCTTTCCGGTCTCCGCTGCTGTGAGTTTAGATGGTGCTTGGTTCTCCGGTGGGGCCGGAGTTCGGGCCACGTGGCCACCTACGCCGGGGCATCGGGCAGAGAAATGAGACCTCCCTGAGCCCCGGGACGCCCGCGGAGGCAGCGGCCTTCGGCCTGCGTCCCCTTCCTGGGAAACGAGATGGAGAGCTTGCTTTTAGTGGTCAGGTAGCCTTAAAAGTAAGCGGAGATGACTTTTCCGTGTAAGCCGGAAAGGCCTCACCGTGTTACTGGCCTTCTGCCTGCCCTACCCCGTTTGAGATGCCGAGCATAACGACTGTGTCCTGATGCAGAGCTTGGCGGAAGTCGAGTATCGGTAGGTAAAACTTGCCGTCAGCACAAAACAGCGACCTTGGGATTAAAGATTTCTAAGAAACCATTTAAGACCCTCTATTTCAATTTTCATTAATAAATTGGGTTTTGAACCCTAAAAGGTCAAGGCTTGGGATTAGTTCATTGTTCCCTTTCAAGCTGAAATAAGAACAGTTAACCCCAGCTAGTCAGCAGCCCTATGCCCAGGATTTGTGTACGGCACTTTTCTTGTCAGCCTTTGTGTTGCCCATTCACCTTGGAAAGCTAGTGAATGTGGTGTCAAAAAAGGCATAAATAAAAGCTTTGCAGCTTTTTCCTGCCCTTGTATTTGGTATATTTGGTGTAGGAGCTGCACAAGTAACAGTTTATGCATTTACGTTGTGTGTACATGTGACTAAATCGGCCAACATGAGTATTTTTTTCTTAACCAGTTTTAACTAATTTTCATTCAGGTGAAAGATGGATGATGCTTGAAGCCAGCTGCTGTTAGCTCATTGCCACCTGGGAGCACAAAAGTGACTTAGAAGGTATGGGGACACTGAAGTGTACAAATTTTGATTTTTAAATTGGGGTGCCTTCTGAAGTATGATTGTTTCATTAGCATTGGTACCACTATCTGTATTTAACAAAGTGAAGTTAGCAAATGTGTAGTCTTATGTGGAAGTTTGGTTGATTCTTCTGAGTAGGTAATACTGAGAAAAACAGTAAATATACATACTACTAGCATTTTAGATCTCCATAGGTTTATACATTTTTGTTTGTAGTAGCTTACATCCTAAAGTCCCAATTTCAGACATGTGGCATGTTGACTGAATCCAAAAATGGTGTAACTTTTCCAGTACTGAAGCATGTAATAAGGACTGCTGTCAGGTTCTTAAGATGTAACACATGTAAATATTTGTTTTTCAAATTTTTTTTAGGATGACCGAGGATTTGGAAAATTGTAATCTTCAAATTGCTTTGGTCATACAATTTCCAGAAGCCTGAGGAGTGCTGAAATAATTGCCTGTGGACAACCCATGAATGTAATTTTAAGACAAGATATAAATAAATACTTTAATGTGCTTGAGGTTTGTGGGGGGTTTTTAAAGTACTTTATTCTTGTGATTAATACATGTTACCTAGACTAGCTGATTTCTGGGTCTCAGGCATTATTTACTCCAATCACTGTATTTCTTTAAAATTAGATTTGTACACTAAAGATTGGCCTACCTTTTATTTGCAGGAAAGAACAAATAGTGTTTTCAGGCATTCAGAAAAAATTTATTGAAAGCACTGCACTAGGAGCTGAAAGCACAGTAAGCAGAACACAGTTGCTCCTTCTGGGAGCTTAGAGCTGAACAACAGAAATAGGAATCACAAACAAGTTTTGTGATAGGATTTGACCAAGTGAGGGAAACCTGAGAAAAGCAGAGTTGACAGTCAAGGTAGGTGCCATTTTTGCAAACCAAAAGAGGCACTGCTGGGGGTGACATGCAAATCCTTGGGTAAGGGAAAGTGTTGTCTGACAGTTTAGCTGTTTCCCCTCTTAACTGCCCTGGGTAAGAGGTGTGATTGCACTGAGTGAAGCTTGTTAGATGGCTGTTGGGAGAGCTAGAAGTGTGTCACCAAATGAGCTGAAAGAGGTAGGTAGATAGAGGCCAGACCAGTTAAGGCTTGGGTTTTTAAAAGCAAGAAACGAAAATCCAGTGGAAAACAATTAAATGCAGGCAGGCCAATTAAGAGACTATCACAGTTGGATCTAACCAAGACCAGCTTGGATCAGAGTGCTGGTGAAATGAATGGGAGTCAACAGACAGTGATGGTACAGGTGTCCATAGTGAGAGGCTTGCGTGGTTACAAGGATGGTGGTCCTAAACTTAGCTGGTAGGCAGTGTTTGCACTAGTTGAGACCTTTCAAAAATCCAGGTGGCCTCATAACTGCTCTGGAGTCCAGGCTACAAAAATAAACCTTAAGGCTCTGTGTGTAAACCTAGGTGTAAGGTTTGGAGAAAAAACTCCCAATAATGGAAGGGTAAAATTAAGGTGGTCAGAGTAGTAGAACAAACTGAGATTTGTGAAGGAAGAGAATGTTGCAAGGCCTAGGGGAGACTTTAATAACAGGTAGTGAAAAAATCCATTTTGAAGATAATTTAAGATACTAGAACTGAGAACACTTGAGTGAAATCCTTTTAAGAAATTTAGCTGAGCAGGAAAAGGAAATTGCAGTTAGACAAGGATCTGTGACTGAAAGTTGGGTTGTTATGGCAGTCACAGGTTTAATAGCGTATGATAAAGGTAACTAACTGGTGAAAGAAAAGGCTAAACACATTTCACAACGCAGAGCAGAAACAGGGAACCTGGGGAGACCAAGAGGAAACCCAAAGCACAGGCAGAGAAAAAGGGAAGGGTGGAGGGTTAGGGCTGATGGGGACTGGTGAGGAAATCTGGCGTAAATGCTTCTATTGTCCCTAGAGGGAAAAGGTCCAGGCCAGCAGGCAAGTTAGGTGGCCAAACTGGGAGACCAAGGGAGTGAAATCCACACTTAACCTTTTCTTTTGTAGAGAAAACACAAGGACACTTTCAAAATTAAAAGCAACACTTAAAGCTTTTTACATTTGTAAATACCAGTGGAACTCAATGCCACAAAATACAATACTACAAAGGATTTAAGAATACAAACATCTGCAATCTGAGAGTGACCGCTCAGTCCTTGGGCACCTCAGCATTGGCTGAAAGCCACTAGATCTGGGAAGAAGACTTTCTTCCCACTATTGCACAGCAAGTTCGCTGCAGTCCAGAATTCCAGAATGTCCATCAGAAGTAATCTCGTAGATGCAGCCACAAGATACTTGGCTGCTACCTGTTTGAGGAAGGAAGATGTGGCATCAAGTTAACTTTACAAGAGCACTCTCCTTCAGTTAAGGCCCTTCAGCACAAGTATGCTGCAGTCATATTCAAAAGAGCTCTTCCTAGGCTGAAGGAGCACTTGGCAGGCCCGAGATACTTGGTCTGATTCACAGTTTGAGCAGTACCAGTGGCGCGCACACCCTCTCCACTGCTGTCCCTGGCTTTCACCAGGATCAAGTCTCAATCTTGAGGCGCGCAGCTTGGATAGTTTTTACTGTTTTTGCCCTGTGCTTTCCAGCCAGATTGCTTGCAGATTTTTCTTCAATCAAGCTATCTTTAGACCCATTTCTTCTCTGAAAAAAAATTTTTTTTGGAAAACAGAAAATACAGTCAATCCAGTGTTTCTAAAATACATCAGAAACTATGCTTTTCAAGATATCACACTGTAATTCAAAAAGTTCCCTAATACCAAAAGCTGACATATATTCCCTCAACAGCTAAATATGCAAAATAAAAATCATGTGCTTAATTAAATATGAAAAATCAGTACCAATTATGTGCATAAGAAATTTATTCATAAAAATAGTCTTCCTAAACAAGAGTCCAGTCTTTTCCAAGCAGAAAAGAGGGATGAGAATGGAGAGTTTATAATCTGTTTTAGACAGTGAATTCAACAGGTACAGCAAAGTGGCTTAGGGGCCCTTGTCACTTGGGGCTGGATGAGCCTGTCAGTGGGGGAGACACGAGAAGATTTGCCGTCCGAGCACTGCATCATGAAAACAGATGGCTGTGACCAGAGCCTGAATACCACACACAGGACTTGTGAACAATCCAGCCACTCGTGAAGGCGCTGTGAGGGAAACATACTTGTGTGTAAGGTTTATAAAAATACAGCAGTCAGAAAAGCAAAACTGCAATAAAATTAATGTACTGTGTGCTGAAACCAACTAAGACAACTCTTGAAAGTTAACTGCTCATTCGTCACCACTTTTTTGACAGTCTTGCCCTTCCAGGCGCGGCCACATCTGATGACTGCCACGTGGTGGGTGTGAGTGAGGGCATCAGGGCTCCCCTCCCGAGATAGGAAAAATGTGAGAGGAACCTCAGGTCCAGAGTTTCCCTGCAGGATCAACCACTGCCTTTGCTGGAAGGGCCTTACCCAGTTAAACTGCCTCCACCCAAACCTCGCCTTGTTTACTCCCCAGGCATCAGTCCTGAAGATACTTTCCCATACGCTTCCTTCACACAGTTCCATCTCAGAATTTGTTTCCACAGAACCTAAACCTAAAATTTGCTGAAGTTGTTTTGGTCCTTCCTGAAGTCAAAAAACAAAAAAATGAAAGGCAGCGTATGAGGTATATCACCACGGGTCCATGAACTCCCTGAGTTTATATGCAACACTATATGTGTTTACACACTTTCATGGCAAGAGAGAGACAGAGGTTATAATTGAATTTTTCTAAGGGATCTGTGATCTAAACAATAAAAGCCACAGAGTTGCAAACAATAGGTTGACACTGATCCATCATAAACATCAACTTTATTCTTGAAGTAGTGTTTAACCCCATAAAAAAAGTCCATCCCACTGTCTTTCCAGCCTACATTTTTCCATCTATCTTACTAAAAAATATACCATGAGAGATGACATCAAAGGCATCAGATAACACTTTCGTGACTGTGCTTCTACTACAGCCTTGAATTCCCTTTTAGACACGTTTGTAAAACATCTCCAGGAGGAAGGTAAGTCTCTTTGATAGGGAGGACAGAACTAAAACAGGACTCCAGTAGTGCTTTTTTTTTTTTTGGTTAGATTTGTTCATGTTAATATTTTTTTAACATGAACAAATATCAGTAGCTGATATTGTTACCTTAGAAGTAGATATTCAGGTTACAAAATCAAAGCATAAAAAATGAACAGACAATGACAGCGCAAACTATTCTGTTCGATAAACTAACGAGCTTAGTATGGTTATCTGTCTTGCACACTTAAACATACACACAGTTATGTGTATATACCTACAGGTTGTTCTTTCCTTTCAAGCACTTTCCCTTTCATTATTACAATAGATTATTACACATTTTGGATCTTATTACTCTTTAGGCTTATTATTATCTATTTTTTACATTAGAGAGACAATATGATATTTACAAATGTGAGTCTGATTTATCCAGCAATTCTTTTTTCTGTTGGCTGTGCCTTTGTTCTTGGTCACAGACTCCTACTGCCTCTTTGTGTTTTGTGTGTGTTCTTTTAATATATAGAATCCCAGAATGAAGTTAAAGAGCCACCAAAGGAACTTCCAAAAGCAGAAATGCTTCTCCAAATTGTCATCAGTATGCCACCTTCTTAACACTTTCTTACCTGATGAACTGTAGAGCCACCACAGCCCTGAGCATCCGAAGAACGTGTCACCGGAAGTGGTGGTACAAGATCTGTCTTTGAACTGCAGAGAATGAAGTTTAGAATTAATGAATGGTACTCTAGTCAGAACAGGAGTTCCAAGAGGGCGTGGAGAAGAGGGAACGTTTCCATCATCACCGAGAGCTCCGAAGCCTGAGACTGGGGACATGCTTGGGCCACCTACTTACTTTACTTCCGAAAGAACAGAGCGCTCTCCGTCTGAACACTGAGACCTGCGATACTGGCGGTAGCTTCGTGGTGAATGGGAATGCCTGATCCGGACTGGGTCACCCTGAGTCCTAAACAAGGAAGCAAAAACAAACAAAATGGAAACAAACATACCAAAAATCACAACAGGAGAGTCAGTATTGAAAAAGCAAACACCAGAATAATGACTTTCAGACCGGTTTTTAAAAGAACTTGACTGGGTTTGAAAAGAACTTGAAAGCCTGAGCTACTTAAAATGTCACATGTTAACAGGAAAATGATTCCTTGACCGTACATGCAAATAAATGGCGCTCTTCCAGGATCTGTATGTATGGGTGTGAATATTTATACTTTTAGCCACCAAACTTTAAATGAAATTATGGCTTGCAATTGAATAATCTCCAGTAGGATGAAAGAAAAATCAAAATGAAGACAAAATGGCATTCTTACCAGGAGAAGTTAGTCACTGTCCTGGCACAGCCTCTCTCTCAGAATTCACACATTACTAGAAAACTGGGAAGACAGACCTTAAAAGTTCTCACCACACACAAAGATATATGAAGAGGCAGGTATGTTACCTCTTTCCCTACACTAACTTTAACTTTAGTTAAAATGTGCAGAGCATGGCAAGGAACGTAAGAAACACAAATACAACCTTTGTGAAAAGATTATTTTGAAGACACATTCTTAAATCAGAATGTGGCAGCACATGCTTATAATCCCAGCACCCAGGCAGCTGAGGCAGGAGATCACCAAGTTTGGGAGCAGCATGGGCTACATAGCAAGGTCAAGGCCAACCTGGACTAGGTATCAGATCCTACCTCAAAAAAAAAAACAAGACATACTCTATCTTAGTGTATGGAATCTCTTTCAGTTGCTCTTCTGACAATCCAGATGGATCCACGAGCTCCTTTCTAGAAGAGAATAGGCAAGAAAGTAAAAGTTGTCACACTGGTACACACCAGTATCTTTCACAGGCTAGTATCATTTACAGTTAGCAGGTACATTTCCGTTTTCCAGTCATGTCCCCAAATGCAGTGTTAGTAATGCATAAGTATCAACTGTGGGACAGAGATGAAATCAGTAGGATGTGATTCAAGAAAAAAACAGGAGGAAAACCTCTTGCTGTCTTTCAGTTTCTCTGCGTCACACTTTGCTGCCGTCGCCCATTTCCTATGGCAGACCTGCCCCTCCCCTGGGGTGGATTCTCTTTCCCTCTGGACTTGGTTTCCTTGGTTTGTAAACTATTGGTCTAAGATCCATTTACCGAGGAGCCAGCAGGCGCCACCACTGTGTGCCTCTGATGCTGTGTAACAGTGACAGTGAAAATGAGCTGGCACTCTTCAGACTGAGGCCGCCTCCCATGCCAGAGATCCTTCTTGTAACCGCATTCAAACTACATGGGTTTTAAACAATGAGGGGAAAAAAACAAATCAGATACTCACTGAATGTGCTTCCACAGTTCTTCTTTTGCTTGAATATCGGGGCTTCTCCTATAAATGAAGAAAACAATATTCACCCCTGCCTCCATGTTCCATCTATAGTCTAACAGTGAACTTCAATAGTTTTCAGACTGTGAAGATTTTATTTGCCAGCTGAGGCCAGATAAGGAAAGATCAAGGACAGCTTCGTGAAATGGCCCAAATAAAGGACACCAGGTAATTTACCTGCTGGTGCCACTGAGGAAAAACCACACAACACCCAGTCACAACCAGAAGAGTTCAGAACTGCAGGACTATGCCCATCTACCCTCACCCCCCTCAGGGGCTTTGGTTCTGATCCTGCTAACTACTTGTAAGCAGCAGCAAAAGAAGAACTTGTTCTGAATCTATTACTGTGCAAAGGTCCCAACATGATCTGTACAAGCAGCATCCTAGTACAACAAGCAACATCCTGAGGAAACAGCAACATGTGACAGCCCAGGTGGCAGACTTTCACGTAACATCTGACACTGTGTTTCTGTACCAAACCTGGGCCCCAAAGGGCAGACCCTCAGACTGCCAGCCATCCTGTGCCCTTTCCTCTGCTTTACTACCCAGCCCACAAATCTCCTCCTCAAGAATAACTTGAGTAGAAATTCTACTACTGTACTAACATCCTAAGATGAGAAATCTAATCTCTAAAGTAGTAACTATTAACCTCAACTATAGAAAACAACACTAGAAACTGATTATTCTATTGTTGCTGCAGAATTCTTTTTTCCCAGTGAAAACCTGATAAGCTTTCTTCAGTCCCCTCAAGAAGAAAAAGGTCTTAAAAGAAAAAAAAAAAAAAAGCTCAAAGAAAAGTCCCAAACTCTCATACTCTTTCCTGTGGAAATTTATATTGATAATCTCTATCTGCATTTTGGGGCTCAGTGTCGCTTTCCACATATGATAATGCTTTTGTGTTTCTCAGTTCACAAGGGCACCCTTGGGCATTCTGGCAGGGTTTCCACACAGTCTCCCTTTCCAGCTCCCTCTCAAGTGGATCTACTGGGCTCCAACTCCTAGGCTCAAGCAACCCTATTGTCTCAGTCTCCAGGAGGGCCTGGACTATAGAAATGTACCAGGTGTCCAGCTATTTTTTTATCAGGTGGACTTTCTATTTCTGTTATTTATAAGCCAAGAGAATTTCTTACCTAAATTATCAGTAAAAAAATTAGGGGTTTTTTCCAAGTATATAAAAATGCTATTAGGTATGTGTAAATATTGTCTGGACAAGATATAATGCCTATATCTTGTGCTCTAAATACTTCCTTTGAAAACAGCAATTAAAAAATGTCAGTTTTAATTCCATAGGAAGTGTCTTTCATTACTATTTCAGAGCAGAAATGTTATCTTAACCTGAATAAGACCATCAGCCCTTCTAGCCTTAAATATTGATCCTAAAAGATTCAAGAATTTATTCTGTATATTTAAGTTCAATATAGCATCATAATTTTTAACTACACTGACTTCTGAAGTGTCTAGTAATTGCAAATAGTTTAAGGCTAGGGGAAAGAAAACTTAAAAGTTAATTTCTTCTGGTTGCTAAATATCATCTGTAATTGAAAAAATAAGAAAAAAGTTAATGACTAATGTTATTATTCTATGCTTACATCTGCACACATTTAATCAATGATAAAGAATGAGTTCATGATCTACAGCTTAACATCATTTTATGGATTCAGAGACCTATAGAATTTTAAGAGTCACTTCTCTTAATTAAAAGACCTTAAAAATAAAGATGTTTTACCCAAACACAAACAAAACAGAACTCCCTAAATTGTCTATAGTTACAACGTATGTAAAAAATAAACATGCAATCTAGGATTAGTCTGATATTTCAGAAATGTCCTTCACATACATCCATAGAAATATTCAACTTTAAATCAATCACAAAAATTAGTTTTCTGGGACCTTACAAATCATTTTCCCTTCTTCCAGAACTCCCAAATTAGAACACTTAAACTTACAAAGGATTTAGACTCCATCATTGCACATAATCTTCTTTGTACATCCTCTAAACTGTGCAGTTATCTAAGAAATATCATAGGATAGCATGCTCGATATGTTTTCTAATGATATATAATATGTACCATATTTTGTATACTGTATTGTACTTACTAGATTATTTTTGTGATCATTATACTGACCACTGATCCAAAAGGAAACTCAGAACTAAAAATATATAAATTCACAGAATTATTTTTATTTAGAGTATTCAAAGTACTTAATAAGTATTTTGGTAATTATCATATTTCTGAGTAGTCACAATAAGTCAAACTAGTAGGTGTCTTATTTTCCCTTCTCCCCCATCACGTTTAGGAAGCCTGAGCTCAGAAACTTAGCTGATGAAGATCACTCAGGTGTCACTTCCAGCAACTTCACCTTAAATCTTTCTGAAGACACCAAACTATTTTGTGTTTGGCTGGCCTCATCTTCCACGTTACCAATAATTTTCATAAACTGCAAGACATTATTGCCACCAGAGGGAGCCCAAGCCTAGCCTGCACACAAGTTCAGCCTATCATAACTATTGTTTGAGCTTCAATGCCTCGTCTATATGCCAGTAAGTAAGGATTCACTCATGCAGAAAGCAGGTTTTGTTTTGCATCCCCTGCCTTATTATTATAAGCATCAAGTAATGGCAATGGGCTAAAAAATGTATTAGACTTTACTGTACTTAAGAATTTATTAGATAAGATCCAGGGGTTTTATACTCTATGACTAGTATTTAATAATGAATACAATTCCCTAGCTTTTTATTAGAATTTAAAAACCTCGTGATGAATGAACCAATACAACATCAATACAAAAAAGTAACAATATAATATCAATGTATCTTCAGTATAATCTCAAAGTGCAATAATCACTTCTGACCCTCAGTGGGTAATTCTCCATGAGCAATTTATACAAACTGAAGCACGGACCTAAGCATGAGGGAATAATTGAGAGAGCAGTGTGTCATCCTATACCTACAGTGACAAATACATACATATTTCATATATGTTATATGTAATAACACTTATGCACATGTTTTAGGCATTTATATAAAAATTTTTAATTTCCCTCTGCTACTTTCCTAGCTTTGTTTCTACTTTTAAAGAAAGCTGTAGTGGCTCCTAAATTATCCAAGAACTAAATTCTCATTTTTAAGAAATTACTGTAAGTTAGCCCACTCTAGTAACCTCACTGCTCTTTTATTTATTTATTTATTTGTTTGTTTGTTTGTTTGTTTATTTATTTGGGGGAGGGGTACTGGGGACCAAACTCACAACCTCACGCTTGCCAGGCAGGCAATTATGCGGTGAGCTAAATCCCCAGCCCACCTATCTCCTCATATTAATTAAAAAATAAATAACTGGCAGAATTTCTAGAGATAAAACAATCAAGACTTAGAGTACTCATTAACACTATCATTGCCATTGTATTTATTTGTCACAGGCACTTTGCATATGTGATCTCACTTGATGTCAGCAAAATCCATAAGCATGGTATTATCCATACAGTAAAGATGAGGAGCTGGAAGCTCACAGAGATGGGGTAATGAGCTACAATTTCGGGTAAATAAGCTAAGTTGGGAGTCTCAAAGCATGGACAGAGTTCTGACAAGGGTCTCCCAGAGGTGTTTTTTTAATCACTGTCAATAAACTTCTTCAGATTTTGACGTCAAAACTCAAATAAATACAGCCCACTTTGTTCCATATAAAGCAAACCATCATCTTGCAGATACATGTTTACTCAGCTGGCCACTCCGCATCTCCATCTGACTGCCAACTTGCATCTCAAACCTAACAGAAATCTTGACTCTTTCCCCCTACATAGCTATAAGCCCATTTCTTCATCTCTTGGTAAAATCAAATGCCATCCATAATTCCTCTCACATCACAGCCAGCTCTATTTCCAAAATGTATACTCATCTACTTACTGCCCTTCATTTCCACCATCACTACCTTCTGTTGTTGTTTTTTTAAACAGGGTCTTGCTATGTAGTTCAGGCTGCCCTAGAACTCGCGGCAATCTTCCTGCCTCAGCCTCCAAGTGCTAGGATTGCAGGTACGTGCCACCGTGCCCCGCTCGCCATCTTTTCCAATCTACAACCATTTTTCAGTGGGACCACTGCTTTTTTACTCTCAGTCTGCTTTCCACTCAAGTCAGAGCAAGTACTACTGAACTACTCTTTACACAGACATCTTTCCTATATTACCTGCACTTTGGTGATATCAGCTATCTAGTTAATTAATCAAGCTCAGTTACAAAATTACCTCAAATATTTGCTAAATCTTTTTATGGTTTGCTGACAAATGAACTGCAAAAGATATACATTTAACTCTTAATGGTGGTATGTCCTACAACTGCACTTGTCTGGGACAATCCACTATCTGATCTGGTATTTTAATCATGTAGATAACATTACAGGAACATTTAAATATATTTTAAGCCAAGTACGGTGGCTTGTAAGCCTGTAAGCACAGTACTCAGGAGGCTGAGGCAGGAGGATTACAAGTTGGAGCCCAGCCAAGGCAATTTAGTAACTTAGATTCTATCTCAAAATTTCTAAAAAGCATGAGGTGGCTGGGGATATAGTTCTGTATGAAGACCTGGGTTCAATCGTCAGTCTACCAAAAGAAAAAAATTTTTAAATTTAGTGTTTCTTTTATTTTGATTTCTGCTGATCTGATAGAAGCAACTCCCAATTTAAAGATATTTTCCACCTCAAAAAGAGTATTTCTCAATTTCCAATTCTGGTCATGATGGAGTAACTATCAGACAAACCTTCCATCCTCAGTCACTATACAATAAGACAAAATATACAAACAGCTGTGCAGGCACCAGGCAGCATGAGTAAGCAGACGTGAACCCTGCCTGCCCTGGGTTAGGGAATGGCCTAGAGGCACCATTCAGTCCCGTGAGGGAGGTGCAGCCCAGGAAGCAACACCGGCACAGAGCTGACAGGCAGAGCTGAGAGACCAGACTGCAACTTAAGTGACAGATTCAAGAAAAGAGAGAGGTGCTGCAGACTCCAGAGGTCTTCGGTGGGGTAGGGCAGGTATGTTTAGAAAACATGATCTGCACATGAGTAGCTGAGACTCTGAAAGGCTGAGAACAGCTGCTACAAAGCAGACAGTGGACAGAGACAGCAGACAAAGTGAAGTTCCCTGCCATCACAGTGGAGAAACCATGCCGAGCATCATGTGCATTCGATTAGGACCTCAGAAAGGCCACGCTCTGGGAGTTAAGGACCAAGCCTACAGCAGGAGATATATATAGACTAATGACAAAACCTGAGGAGCCCCACTTTACGAACGCACAAAACAAGCCTAGTGAAATGAAGAGGACCCAAGAATAATTTAACTGACCACCAAAACAAAATTTGACAATTTTTAAAGATTTTACCATCTCTTCTGAAGTGTCCAGTACACATTAAAAAATTACTAGACATGCAAAAAGTCAAGGAAATGTAGCCATTAACTAGGAGGAGGAGGAAAGAGCAGTAAATAGCAACAGACTTAGAGAAGACATGTGGGGATGCAAATTCCTTCAATACAAACTGTCAAAACTTAGACATAATAAGTAAAAAATATGAATAGCACCTCTGTGTTAAAGAAACACATGCAAGTGTTCCTTCAAAGAAAATTCCAAGCAGAAAGCTTCACTGATGCACTATGTCAAATACTAAAATCTAATATGGATTTCACATTAACTCTCAGAAAATGGAAGAAAGAACATTTCCCCAACTAGTCTGAATAACCAGCATAACTTTTACCAAAATCCTGATAAAGACGTTATAAAAAAATTATAGATTAACTCTGCTCATAAACACCAAAAAAACTTGATTAAATAATGTTTAACACCTTATAGCAATATTCAAAAAGGATATAATATCACAACCCCAAGGGGCTTCTGCTAAGAATAAACAGATGTATCATTCAAACTTGAATCAATGCAACACTTCCTCTAACAAACCAAAGAAAAAGAGCTCATGATAAAATTGAAAATTCATTGATGATTTAAAAAAAAAACCTTTCACTGCCTCTTAGCAAACTAAGAATACAAGGCATCTTCCTCAGTCTTCATATGACACACTGAGACCTGCCCTCCAAGAAACAAACCAAGGACATCTGCTTTCTGACCACATGCTCTCTTCAACATGGTAATTCAACACGACTGCAGGAGCTGGCCAGTACAATAAGGGAAGAAATATAAATAAGAGGCACAAGACTAGAAATAATAAAGGAAAACAGCCTCTATTTATAAACAATGATTGTAACTTTAGAAATAAAAAATATTTCCCAAAAATCAGGGCAAGCTTCTAGACCCAATAAATGAATTTAACAAGACTGAAGGATGTCAAGATATCCCATCAGTATTTTTTGAATCACATTTTTCTATATACTTTACTGACAAAACAATTGGAAACAAATTCTAAGAATGTGCAATTCAATAACATTAAAAATGTTGGACATTTAGAATTAAATAAAATTACTGAAAATTGTGAAATGCTGCTATAAGAAGTTAAAGACAAATAAATGGATGGTAACATTAATTTTTTTTCAAGGTGGATCTATAGATTCAACACAATCTTAATCTAAAATTTTCAACCTTTTTTTGGTTGGGTAGTAAAAATTGAAAAACTGATTCAAAAACTTACATGAACTAGCTGAAACCACCTTGAAAAACAAGAACAATAGACTTATAAGTGAGCCAAGTATGGTAGTGCACACCTATAATCCAGGCACTTGGGAACTGAGGCAGGAGGATCACTAGGAGTTCAAGGTCAGCCTGGAATGCACAGTGAGACCTTGTCTCAAAAAAGGGAAGAAAACCTACACTGATTCCAGTTTCACTATAAAACTATAGTAACTAAGACAACATAGTGGCCCAGAGATAGAAAAATAGATCAACAAAACAGAATTGGCCCACATATATGGTAAGAAGTCAACTGATTTTCATCAAAAATTCCCAGGCATTTTGGTGAAGACTGTGTTTTCAACGAACAGCACTGAAATAACTGGATAAACACAAGGAAAATGCTTTTCAGTCCTAACTTCATACATATATAACAATTAATTCAAGATGGATCACAGCCCTAAATATAAGAAAAAAATACATAAAGCTCCTAGAGAAAAATATAAAAGTATCTTTGTGACCTTGCAATAGGCAAACATTCCTTCAGATAAAGAAGGGGAAAAAAGACTTAACAAAAATATTAAGACAACAACAACAAAAATCCCTGATACACTAGTTTTTATCAAAAGGTACAATGTTTGGTCACCTAAACACAACATTGATAACATGAAAAAGCCAGTTAGAACCTGGCAAAAAGTATTCACAATACATACACCTGAAAGGTCTTACACCTGGACTATACATACTGTAGTGCTTTGGGAAACAGAGTGGGGACGGGCGGCCTCAAGGTCACAGCATAGATTTAACGTACATACATCCAAGGGCAGGGAGAGAGAAACTTTATCAGCTCAAAGAAAATTAATTTGGGGGACTGGCAATCTCACTGTTATGGAGTAATTGTGCTCACACATGGCATTGCTTAGCAACAGGAGGAACACGTAAATCCTAGCATTAGGGTATGATGAATCACTGACTATTGATCACAATGGTAACTTCACAAATGGAAGACATTCACATCTAGATCAAGATTTTAGAGAATTCTGCAGACTCAAACTGAGAGAAGCAGTAGATAGTAAATTAAAAAACTACTGAAAATTGTGAAATGCTGCTATAAAAAGTTAAAGACAAATAAATAGATGGATAACATTAATTTTACCAACAAAGGAGACTACTCCTACTTAGCCAGTTGGAGACTATTTCTATTTACCCAGTTGGATGTATGCATTTGTTTAAAAATAACACAAACCAAACAAAAACACATTTTTGATAGCCTTGTTCCCATGACATTTTGTTTTGGCTGTGCTCCAACTTCTACAGCTTCAAACATAGTTAAGAATTTTATAATAGAAGCAGGTAAATAGGACAAACAATGGGACAATTGTGGTTCAAATAAGCCACATCAGAAGACCTGAGCATCTACATGCTACTTCAAGCTCAGTGTGTTTGAATCAAGATGTAAAAAGCCTACATACGAGCGAGATCGGTGTCTAGATCGCCTGTTGTTGGGATCCGACTGGTTTTTCTCTTTTTGTCTCCGTAATATGGCTTCCCACTGAGGTGCTGAGTCAACCATCTCATTCTCTAGACGTATTCTGAAAAGCAAAATCATTCATCTAAAGTTAACATCCATACTCCGTACCGTTTTTCTTGGTTTGTCCTAATCTTGTTTTGAAAAGGTATTTAAGCAGGAGCAATTTTGTTACAATCACTGAAAGCTGAGAAGGCGTTAACTAATGTTTGCACACACATAAACATAAATATGTAATAGTCACATTAAATACATAAAGATATACTATTCATTAAAAACTTGTTTGCTTAAATTTCTCCAAGAAAAAAGTGTCAAGTGAAAATTCATTTAAAACAGATTTAAATTTTAATGGTAATAACAGTGATCTCTGACTCAAACTTTTCTAAGAAAAAAATGTCAAACAAAAATTCATTTAAGCTGGGGATATAGCTGAGTGGTGTAGCACCTGCCTGGCAAGTGTGAGGTCATGAGTTTGATTCCTGGTACAAAAAAATCATTTAAAACATATTTAAGTTTTCACAATAGAAACAGTGATAGTCTGCCTCAGTTCCAATCTTAAACTATGAAACAAACATTTTTCAATGTGCTAGTTAAAACAACGATAAGTAATTTTACTTTCAAATGCTCTTAAAAGTTCATAGTAACCATCAAAGTTATCATGGACAAGCGTTGCCATTCTGTAACACAGAACTAAAACTGCCAAGGTGAACCCCAGCGGCGCCAGGATAATGCAGCAGAGTGCTGTGGCTGAATGAGCCCACATCCTCCTGTATGTGGCTGCTCGCACGCGGGGGAAGGAATTGGGGCCAACACTTGATGAGTCCCCAAGAAGGAAATGTACATGGGGAAGGAAAGTGAGGTGGCACTGGGAAGCATAGGCACTTGCCATGGAGACCAAGGGCAGTGTTAGCAAATACTCTCATCATTTAAAAAGGGTAATTTCACAAATCTGGATTTTTTATAATAAACTTGCCAAATTTTCAGGTACTGGCAACCAATTCTGAATTTTAAGGCACTGTATAGACCACAACCTGCAGAAGTTTTGGACTTCTGATGTACCAAGTCTTGCTAATAATGAGGTGTGCTATTGGGGGCGGGGGGAGAAGAATTTAATTGAAGCACTTAATTAGTGTGTAAATACTACCTCCAACGCACTGCAATGCTGCCATAAATCTGTGACTATTCCTTGCAAAAATTAAACACCTGTTAAGTGAATAATTAACTTTTAATTTATGTAAGCTCAGCAGGAAGCTGCCCTAACTGGGCACCTCCCCAAGTGAAGAGTAGGTCCAAACTGTCAGGATCCCATCCGGGCACTGCGTCTGCCTGGGCCCCACTTACAGATGGAGACAATGACACCACCGTTACTCTGGAAAGATGATGTGGAAACAGAACAAATGTCTTTCAGCTCCTCTGTGCCAGCACTTCCTATGGGCCATGGGCTGCATATCTTAACGATGAATGGTGAATGGTGACAAATACTCACTTCACCAGAATTGAAACAGAGATAATGTAAAGCAAATGCAAGTTAAAAAGAACACGGTATGAGGAAGAAACTACTTAAATCTGTAGGTTAAAGGGGAATTGTGTTAAGTAAAAAGTTATCTGAAACACACGCCAAGCCTTTGAAGACTATCTACTTCCTCACTAAAGCTTTCATTTCTAACCAGTGACTATCTGAAGGTTAACAGGAAACAGTCTTAGTATCTTTCACAGATTTAAGAATATAGTTTCTTCTTTTTACAGCACCTACAATGTAAATTAAAATTGAACAAATGGTGCTACGGACCTTAACATTAGAAATATTTGAAGAAAGGTAAGGTATACTACCCTGCAGTGGTAATCATTCATCACACTTGGGAGTAAACAAATGAAAATATCATGTGGGTGCATGTGACCCCCACATGGGTGTGTGTGCGTGAGAATAAAAACAGATCTGTGTGGCTAGAACCCACACCTGCAAGCCTTTCCAGTGTCTCACAGGATGCTCAGGAATCACAGACCTGCTGGGAGGAGCTGTCCTGGATGTCCCCAAGGCTGAGGGTTCAGGTTAGAGACAGAGTCAAAGGGAAGGTATCAGGCTGCCCAGAGGGATCACTCCTTTCCCAAGAACCCACAGCTCTACTGCTGGATCTCAGATCACTTGCAAATTCCATGTCTCCTAACTCGTAGCCCTGGAGTGATTTAGCCTGCAGCTTCCATTCTGAATGAAATCGCTGCACAGGTTATGGGCAGGATTAATTTTACAACATGAAATATTTTTTTATCAGGAAGTTTGGATGGTTAAATATGTTTGAGAGCTCAAACCAATTAGCAAGGCAAGAAGCTTGACGTAGGCAAACACATACTTCTACCAGAACACAGACATTTAAAAGGCAGCACAATTACTGTGTGTTGATTTTCATTTACTGTGGAATTATCAAATTACCACAATACGGGGCTGGAGGTTTAGCTCGGTGGCATAAGTGCCTGCCTTGCAAGCAGGCAGTCGTGAGTTTGATCCCCGGCACCGATAAAAAGGAAAAAGACAAAAAAAATTTTAAAAAAAAAATTACCGCAATACTCAAGATTTTACTGGGATTAAAAAGCACTGAAACTCCTGAGATATACACATACACATTTACTTTTCCTTGCTTGTCATAAAGACTAAGTCAAAACAAATTCCAGGGTATACTATGTACCTTTAACTTATTTTTCTAGTTGAAATCCTCATTTGAGAGCAATGAAACCTGGTTAACTAATATCCTTGCAACTCTGTGCTTTAAAGACAGATGCCCTCTGCTGGGGGTGCCATTTCATAAATATTCTAACAATGTGCATTAAAAATGTAAGGCCCTTAGGAGAGTCACAGCACAAGCACATTTTCCAGAGTAATGATGGTGTCACTGCCTCGGTCTCTAATGAAGTCTGAAATTACACCCTTACAAAAGGCCTCTGGTTAATGGTGCCTCATTACAAGAACGGAAGTGTCATTTCTTCCACTGCTGAACTGCTCCAGAAAACACAGGTGCCACATGGAAAGACAAATGCTTACCTTCAGAAGCAAGACTACCACAGGCAAGTTTTTATGAGGCAGGAGTTGTCAGTTTTGTTTATGTATGAGTGACAAAATCTCAAAAAGAAAAAGACATATCTCCTAGAATGATTCTTATTTTTAAGTCCTACTCCGAGTCATGGGATGTACAAGTGTAGGTTGTTTGTTTATTTGTTTGTTTTGCTTTTTTCCATTCATTTTAGGCCTCTCTCCTGCCTTATTATTGATTGACTGATAGTGGGGACTGAACCCAGGGTCTTCACATAGAGCTACATCCCAGCCCTGTTTTCATGTTCTGAGCCAGGGGCCCACTGAGTTGTTAAGTTGCCAGGGCTGGGCTCAACCTCACAATCCTCTCAGAGTGCTGGAGTTACGAGTATGTCCCGCTATGCTTGGCTATTTATTTTAATTTTGATGTAGGGATTTATATCATGAAGAATAAAAATATTGCAAAGCCATATGTTGGAAATGAACCTTTTATAGAGTCAAAAATGTGCTCTTACATCATAGTTATAAAATTCTTAAAGGGAAAAAATAGTTCATTATAATTTATACTGCCGATCTATTTATTTTCAAACACTGAAAAAGGAGAATCTCAACAAGCCACCAAATATTCTTTCCCTGTCCCCTTTGATCCAGTAAGTCTACTTTCCTCATCTGTCGCCCATCTCCCCAACTCTAAGGAAGCAGAGTAAACAGTTAGAGCAGGAAGTATACTTCACAAAGCTTTTGCTTTTTAATTAACATACAGGGAAAGAGTTTATTTCAAATACAGCAAACTCCAACATTCCAGAGCATTTTTCTCACAATACCTTTACACTCTAATTTCTCCAGACGAGTCATGCAATTTAGATTTTAACTGCATCTGACACTTAATTAAAGTTTGCAAAGGTTTTGAAGATGAAATGCCATATAATCATTTGATAACAATAATAAAAAGATAATAACGATTCCTAGTCTCTCTTTTCTTCCCAATTATAGTTCTGCCTTTTCTGCAAAATTCTTCATATTATCAAATGAGTTCTTACACCAATATCCTGGATTTTACTTTGTCCTCTCCTTTTATCAGTTTTGTTCTTAATAGGACCTTACTTTCTACCAGTTCTTAATTTATTTCAGATTCACTGAGATAAAGGACATGATTAATGCTAACCCCGAGAAATCTTTTGGAGCACATGTACAAGGAAACTTGAAGCTGATGTGAGCAGCACACTTTGCTCTGGAGTTCTGTCCTTTCCTCGCTGTGCCATTATCTGACTCAGACACTCTGGGCAAATCACCATCTCCTTTGGTCAGCTCTCAGTTTCTTCATGTGTAAGACTATTGCAAATAACTTTTCCAGCATTAAAACTCACACTAAACCAAATCTGTGCTCTTCAACTACAGTGTAATGTTCCCGAAAACTGCCTCATGTGGCCACTAAAAGTTAAGTCCACGGGTTCCAACTGATTGTGAACTTGTGCTCTCAGCAACTACACTCATTTTTGGATCACCTGTTCCAAAGTAATCTTCATTTTTTTTTCAGTAGTTTTTTCTCCCCTAGGGATATTTATGTTGGTTCCAGGCATCGGTCGACACACTCCCTGTCGACTGCAAGCAAAAAAAAATTCATTTACTTTTCTCACTTTCTCCTACTATCAATGAATTATATTTATTTTGCTCATAAAGGAGTTTTGGTTTCTTCCACTTATTCCTTATGCTTCTGCTACTAAAACGGGGTACCTGTGTAATTTCCCTTTAAACTCTGTTTTTGTAATTTTTAACCTGATTTGCTCCCACAGCCACTCAGGAATCTGACAGCATTCCACAGCTGCTGCAGCCTCCTCCTTCCACAGTCATCTCTGTCGACGTTGATTATGCTCTAAAAGCCTCCGACCGACCACCCGTGTCCTAGGTCTAAATCTTGCTGTCTCCTATTAAAGTAAATCAGAACCCTCTGCTTCTGTGCATGGTTAACATTATCTGTTTCACTAGCTCTGTATGCACCATCCTCTTCATAACCACACTTTTTTATCTTGTTTGCTGCCCATAAATTAGGGGCAGGCCAGTAGGAAGTGCTCAGAAGGACAGACTTATCTATTTTCAGGCTCAGTCAAAGAAAGCCTACTGGGTTGAGTTTGCCGACTTCACAGAGACCTTTTCCTTAGAGTGTGGAGACATTAGCTTTTTTACCACTCTCACAACAAAATCACAACCGTCTAGATTTGCTCTACTCAGATATATTGTCACTGTTACAGTGCTGAATTCTTTTTTCAGAAAAATAATATAAAACATAATGAAACATATTAAAAATTATCTTGATCGATTATTATACTAACAGACATGTAATAAACTAATGGATCCTAAAAGACATCTAAAAGGTGAGAGAAACTAACAATACTCATGCCACAATGAATTCATGTTGACGACACAAACCTCTTTTTGCTCCATGAAGTCACGCTCCCCTGGGCAGATACTGCAGGGAATTCAGGTAACAATGCCCACTGCAGAATGTTCTCATGAATTTAATGGCACCTGTCTATCTGGAGCATTTTCTGCTTTTTACAGCACACCTAGTATCTCCTGGATCCTCACCTCCTGTGAGGTAGGCAGGGCAGGTATTATTCCAATTTGCACAGAGAAACAAGACGTAGAGGGCAAAGGAACCTGCTCATGGCTACAGACCCTTCAAAGCAATGTCAGATTCACAAACAAGGCTCCCTAATTTACACACGCATGTGCACACACACAAGTACATAACTCGTGTTTATGATACAGCATCCTGAGGTAAAACTAGGGAAAGATCCACAGGGTCCTGTGGCCATTTCTCTCTAGTCTTCCTCTTGTTCCAGCTTCCCTAATTTCTCATTCTTTTAATCTTCCCCAGGCTCACAAGTTATTTCCACTTTTATATTTATGCAAAAACCACCAGACTACTTCTCTGTGCTGTTCACCACTCCAAATCCCCCACTTCAAAATGCTAACAGCCTAGCAACACATCAAAGCTCACGAACAACTAAGTAATCCAAAGATTCTCCCCAGTGATACCCAAAGAGTTGCTGATTTCCATCAATTGCACAAAGCATATTTTGCAGACTGCTTTCTCCAAATGTGAAGAATATTTTATTAAGCTCAAAGTACTTTGGGGGAAAGCTAGTTTATGAAAGGTTTCACTCTGATAAATTGGCTTCCTGAGCCCTCCTTCAGCACATGCACTAGGCAAGTCCAGGCATGGACCATGGGCTCAAACCCTTAGTAATGAACTGGCTGGGCCTTCTGATCTCAAGGACAAGATTGGAGATTCTAACTCATAAAAACTAGTACCGTCTACTATTCACATGGATCATTAACTTCATACTGCCAGTTACCTGGGAGGTTCCCAATTTGATGAATTTAATCAAATCAATTGTCTCTTCAGTCAGTGAAGCAATTACTAAAGTTTCAGCATTTTTTGCTTTTAATTCTATCAGTGCATTGACACACCACGTTCTTTCCTCAGTATTAACCTATCTTTTACTACTCTTATCACAATGAACACTCAGTTTGACTGGGGTAGAGGAGTGAACCATAAACACACCCTTAAGAATCCGATAAAAGCCACAGACCCTGGCTTTGTCAAATTGTGCAACTGAGGTGCACGCAATGCTATACATACAATTTTACAGACTTGTGAGACCTCTAACACTTCCCTTGAGTCCGAACTGAGAACACACAGAACAAAAATGACTAAGTGTGTGAACTCAGGAAAGGTGGAAGAATGGCAGACAGGACCAAGTGGAACACAGAAACACCTGCTAGAGGGGAGTGCAGAGGCAGGTGAAGAGGAGGCGGGGATTCCAGAACTGGGTACAGGACTGTGAGGTTCCACACCCCATACTCTCACTTCAGAGAGCTCACTGAATCTGTACAGAACTCACTGGGCAAAATCAAGAGTGGTTAGGTATGTGTCCCTTTACTATAAGACTAGGAAACTAAGATCTGTATTAGTTAAATCAGTTGCCCAAGGTCAGGTACCAGCACATGGCAGAACAAAGACTAACACTCAAATCCTTGGGTTATGCGATGACAAACCATTAGCTCCTAAACCAAGAAAGAATTCAGGAAAGACAAAAGAAAGAAGGAAAGGGGCTGGGGATTTAGCTCAGCGGCATAAGCACCTGCCTTGCAAGCAGGCGGTTGTGAGTTCGATCCCTGGTACCAATAAAAAAGAAAAAAAAGAAAGAAAGGAAAGAGCAGGGAAGACAAAGAAGGAAACTGGGAGAGGAAAGTAATGAGCTATCAAGGGAAAAACAAGAAATGAGAGAATAGAGGGAACAAAGGGAAAACAAGGACTGTCACCTTAGATGTAAAAATAACTCTGCTCCGACTTTCAGCTATTTATAGAAAGGAAGTAGCAAACTACCCTCTCAGGCCTCAAAACCTAGAGGATCACTGGGATACCCGCTCAGACTGCAAACACAATAGTGAAAATACTGAGGTGAAAGAGACAAGGGAAGACACCAGGAAGTCCCCAAATAAAGGAGGCGGGCGGCAGTTACGGCGTTCTAGGAAACACTGTGCAATGAGGCTCACCTATCTGCTCTCATCAGTACAGGGGCCAAAGCGAGAGGGGGATGCTTACAATTACAGCTTTTTAAAACTTAAACTGAATAACAATCCTTGCTTCTGGTGTGAATTTTGACTTTTTTTAAAAAACAGTTTTGGGCTGGGGATTTAGCTCAGCAGCGTAAGCGCCTGCCTTGCAAGTACACAGTCCTGAGTTGGATCTCCAGTACCAAAAAAATAAAAATAAAAAATAGAGTTTAAAAAAAACTGCTCCCACAGAGCAGGAGCCTAGCATGTTAGGAAAGTGGCCCCCCAGAGGCTTTGCACCCTCCTTCCCTACACACTGTTCCCTGCTGCACCGGAATGACGTGGAGATCAGAACTAAAAGACAAATTTCTTTCTTCACACTTTTTCTCTTGCCCGAGAGACAGACTCTAGACCTCATTTTGCACAGACATAGAAACTTATATAACCCTGGGGCAATACATCTATAGGTAAAATAAATGACTGTGAAAGCTTTGCATGAAATGTGTCAGGGTGTGTTTGAAAGCTATTTCCCTTTACTGGCCTTACAAAGTGCATTTGCCTTTAAACATTCAGAACCACTGCCATTTGAAAACATACCTCTGCCTAGCGCTGAGAAAGTCAATTTAAAAAACGGGCACAGGAAAAACTCCTGAGGGAGGAAACACCTAGGAGGAACCCTGAAGCTGGAGCAGCCAGATTAGTAATGAGTAATTTAAGGATTTGGTGATGACCTTTCAATAGACTCGCTGTGAAAACGTTTAGTTTCAAAAGACACTTGTGTTTTAAACAGGCTATCTCTTGAGCAGTAGAGAAGACAGCATCTATGAACACAATTTGGACTGTACTAAGCAATACAAATAGATATGTTAAAATACTCGTGGGATCAGTATGTATAAATTTTAATAGGGGAAAATATTTTTTGGCTTTGTTTTCTGTTCTTTGTGCAGAAATACTGTATTGTAGAGCAGGACCAAAGTACCTAAGGGAGAGTTACCTCTCACAATTGAGATTTTACAGATAAAGAAACAGAAATGTTTTCCTGGAGAAAGATTTCATAACACTCTGAGGTCTCACATCTACATGGCTTAACTCCAGCCCCGAAGAAAGCTCTGCACAGAAGCGTTCCTAAGAAAGTGGTCTGCTCTCACAGTGCTGTCTGGGCTATTATTGTACAGGCTTTGTAGTTAGAGCAGGCAGACAATTCAGTGTGTGCCAACCTCGAGGGTTCCAAGTGCTAAAGAAGAACATTGGAGATTATTTAGTCTGACTTCCTCAATTTACAGAGGACACAAAGATGACCTAGGAAGCAGGCCAGCATTCTACATCAAATGCAAATGAGTTTCTCCACAGTGGCACAATGACTTTAGTATTAGGTACTTCTTGGTTGTGTAGCTGTTGTCTATCTTGCAGATAGCAATCTCTTCTACCCAGTCATAATAGAAATGAGTGTCTCCAGATATTGTCACACATTCTCAGGGAGCAGGTGAGAAGGACAAAACTCTCTCAATTGCAAACCCTGAGTTTGAAATCAGTATGAAAGGCAGTCAACTCCCTCTGACTCCCAGCTTGCTGTGTATGAATACTTACTTTCAAATAAATATTCTAGAACTAGGGAGAAGTGATTAATGCATTAAGCTAACTAATGCTTATTAAATGTCACATGATTTACTAACAAGCTCTTAAAAAACAAACCTCACCAATATAAATTCACTGCATTTACTCATCTGTGTATACCTGACATAAATGTAAAAGCATATTAGCATGTAGATATACATGAGGTAAAGCCTTAAAACAATGCATCTCATTTTGCCTTAGGTAAAACACAGTAATGTCATGGTAAAATATACTTCAGGAGGAATTTCTCTATAATCATAAACTTCCCTAAGAGCCTTAAACTTAATAGACACTGTACCTAAATACAGAATCATATGAAAGAAAAATAAGGGAATCTTCCTGCCAAGTCATTTAATCATCTTATCCTAAAGACAAGAAACTCAGTTTAAAAAGCTGAGATCCTCTAAAAGTGCTTCAAAACAGTGCTGGACTCCTTGGCAACAGATAAGAAAGCTAAATACAGGGACATGCGGCTTCTGTTACCAATGGCAGCCTCTGATTGCAGAGTTACAATATTTAGACATTACCTGTTTCTCTTCTTCCGGTGCTCTCTATTTGAATTTTCTGATTCACTACCACTGCTTGTGTTACAGCGTGAGCGTGACCTGAAGACCAAAAGCAAAGCAAAGCAAAAGGCCCATGTTTATAACAAATTACAGAAAGGTCCATTTGGTTCTTTGGAATTAACTTTGCAGTGAAATTACTAATCCAAACATAAAAACCTGCATTATCCCCCTCCCAGGCAGGGTTTCTGAACTCAGACACCTGAATAAGTCTCCTACTCAGAGCAACAGCAAAGCAGGGCAAGATGAAAGCGGATTAAGGCAAATGTCATCATGCTCCCAGAAAGAACCACAAAAACCAAATGCTTTCAATACAACTCCCACATGGCAAAGCTATAAGCCCCTGTGGAGGACTAAATGTGGAAAAAATCTTGTTTCCTTCCTTCATGTCTCTCCTAAATAGAGTTGTAGACTAGATAGGTTTCCTCTGTCCTTGAATTTACACTTGTCCTGTGACTGGTTTTACCAACAGAATTAGGTGTGGGGTATACTCCCTCAGTTCTGGACTGATCGCTTCTGCTTCCGCCCAGTCACTGCCTGAAGAAGTCTGGGCTAGTGACAGGGAGAGATCATACAGTGGTGAAGACTCATGGGAAAGATTCCAGCCATTCTGCACAGATCCCTGAAAAACAAAGCCTCATCTGCCACCTGACCACAGACTCATTCGAGACCTGAGCAAGACCAGATAAGCTTTAACGTGTACAAGTCCCAGGTACCAGCTCCCCACGATGGGCGTATTCATTATGCATAACATGTACTCAGAAAAATTAATTTTTTTAAAAAGTCGAGCATGGTGGCACATGCCTGTAATCCCAGCATACAAGAGGTTGAGGAAGGAGGATTGTTGTAAATTTGAGGCCAGCATGGGCTACACAGTGAGTTCAAAGCCAGCATAGTAAGACCCTGCCTCAAAAACCAAAATATAAGCCAAAAAAGAAACAAGCAAAAGAGGAAATTTCTGTTCAATCAACAGCAATTATACTATATATGTGTATTTGTGCATGCATATACACACATATGGTATGTATGTTTGTATGTATATTTTAAGCCACTAAGTTTTACAACATTTTACAATACAGTAATAGATAACCCAGCTCCTCTGAGACAAAAAGGAGCAGGAAAAAACAAGAGAAATATCTAAGGATGGAAAGAATGGGAAACTAAGAACCTGTTGAAACTAAAATTGTTTTTTTGTGGGGGGAAAAAAGGATTTATAACATAGCCCCCTTTAAGCAGCCATAAAAATCTACCCCCCAAAAGTCCACACTCTTCCCTTAAGTTGAGCACTGCTAATCTGTTAGTGCTTCCTCCCTCTCCCGGACTCTCTTCCCATTCTGTTTGTTTATATTTTACCTCCTCCTTTGCTTTAGATCTGAGTCTTCACCACTATTATGGGCTTTCCTGTAGAAAACAAAAGATGATGTTACAGAATGGAACATTATCCACTGGCTATGAGACGCACACCAAAACAAGTTTCACAGCTGTGAATCCCTATCTGTTAAGGTATCTGTTCATTCACCACACACTCAAGTCATACTTTTATGCCTGATGACAGGTCCCAGAAATGCATGCCACCAACTGGTTTTGAAGTCTTTAGAAGCCAGAGAGCCACCTAGAGGGGGCTGCAGACTGTTTTTCCAACAAAGGGGTTAGTCCTCAGTCTCTAGGCCTACCATCCTCCAAGTCAGTTATGCAGTGGTCTAACTGAATGTGAATTCCACCTCCTCTGCTGATATGGCATAAGGTTTAACCACACTTTTTCTACTTAGTGCCTTGGTTTTAATAGTATTACCCACCAAGTGCTGTTATGAGAAGCAAACGTATGAATACAATTAAAATGCAGAGCAGGACCTGAGCCACTAATGATTACTCAATAAATACAAGCTGTTACTTCTGTACCTCATCAGCTAGTCTCATTCTGTCCGTGCTATCCAATAGGCTGCCGACTAACCTCAGCCGACTGACCTCACTCCTTAAGATTTCCTAGTGCATTCTTTCAATTATATATATATACACGGCAATACTCAACACTTCTTCTAACTCTGCTTTTCATATTCATTCTGTCTGTCTGTCTGTCTCTCTCTCTCTCTGTTTCTCTCTCTCTTATGTAACAACACACATAGGTGAATAGAATGACCCAGGTTCCCTGAGCTAGCACCAAATAGCTGGCTAAGCAAAACTGGAGGAACATAACACGTTCATAAACCCCAAGTGGGGCCACACCATGGCTGAACAACCTCGCCATCTTTGTCCAGACTACGCTGCTTCTGCAAAGCAGTGCTTTCCTTTTCTCTGGCTACTCTGCAGCACAGGGCACCTCTGGACTTCGCTTTCTCCTTCCTAAGGAAAAAAGAATGGAACTCGTATATCTTCCTGCTACCAAAAATAAAAACTCAGCAACATCTTTCCTGTTATTTACGGATCTATCCTAATGAAGAAGGTCTGTGCCTCCATCTGTGCCATGTAGCCTGGCCACCTCAGTCTTCTCAGTGACCTTTATTAACTTGCACCACCTCTCAGCTGCCCTCTGGCAAACTCCTTTTGCCAGATTTTAACATTCTCAAATCTTTCAACAACACACCTACTGTGACTCCACATCCCCTCTCTTTTGTCCACTTCATTCTCTTTCACTGAAAGCCAGACTTCTTAAGAGAGATGTCTGAGGCCCTAGCTCTATTCCAGCTTGTCACCTGACTCTGACCAGCAAGGCTTTTATGCCATTACTATGGCTTTTGCTCTCCTGCTGTTCCCAATACAGTTATATCTACTAATGTAACATGGATATGTGGTCCCAGTCCTTATGTCAAAATTTTGGTATAAACAACAATATAAATATTGTTCACAGATGAACTAAATTTCCTTCTAGGGATACAGCTCCATTCTTCTATAGGTACATGAGCCTCTTGCTTAGTTTACCTTTGGTTATCAGTAATCCTTTGCCCACACTCTCCAAGAGAACTGCCAACTTCCTCCTAATTCAAACAGATCCCAGCTAATCACAAACTTGATCCTCCTCAGTTCCGCTGCTCTCACACTCAGAACTGCACCAAGCTTGCTGCACACAGGTTGCTCTGATTCACCACTTCCTAGGGAATCCCTTTTGATTCTCTATGACAGATTCCATATTTCTAGCTTTTAGGACTCCCTGTTTTGGTTTTTGTGGCATGTCTCTTCTTGTTTGCAAACAGAACACTTCATAGCAGGTACAAAGTACGGTTAAAATACATGCTAATGTTTAAATTTTTAAAAATTTAATTACAGGCCAGGTGTGGTAGCACAAGACTCTGTTTCAACAACTCCTCAAAAAATTGTATTACAGAAAGACAAAAAAAAGGGCGGGGGATTTAGCTCAGCGGCATAAGCGCCTGCCTTGCAAACAGGCAGTCGTGAGTTTGATCCCTGGTACCGATAAAAAGGAAAAAGACAAAAAAAAAATTGTATTACAGTAAAACACACATTGCCATGAATCCTCCTGAAGACATTCCCCCTCACTTTAAACACACCCATACCACTGTTCTTGCCACTTTCTGAAGCACGTCTGGAAGTGTCTACCAAGTGTGGTGAGAAACACGGTGAATGCTGCTGCTCAGTAATTTCTGATTAAATTTCTGGGTCCTCACTGCCTTAGTCACCAGATCTGGCATTGTTTAATTTCTGCCTCTGGTAATCTGAGTAACTCTTTTAAAGACAACGATGCAGAATAACAACCTTTGTTATGTTCCTACCACCTTGTTTTGAAGGTGTATATTGTTATTGTTTTGGGATGCACATGCCTAGCACTCCTCCTAAAGAGTTTATAAGATTTGATTTTATTACGTGTGATGAAGAAAACGAGCCTTTAAGGTAGCCATTGCTGATTTTCCTATTATCTTGTTTGAAGCCCAATAATGCTTTTATTCTTTGTTTTGATTGGTTTTAGTCTGTTTTCTGTTATTTGATTTCAATATGGGTAGAGGTATGGACAGGTATTTTGAAGAAAGCAAGCAGCTTTATGGTGTCATTGTTGATTTTCCTATTGTCTGGTTTTAAAGACCTGTCATGCTTTCATTCTTTTGTTTTGATAGGTTTTATACTATCTTGTTTTATTTGAATTCATTGTGTGTGAAGACATGAACAACTGTTTTGAAGAAAATAAGAAACGTGGTAGCCAGTCTTGATTTCCTCTTGTCTTGAAGTCCAGTGTTGCTTGCACTGTTTTGTTTTGATTTGTTTTGTTCTGCTTTGTATTGTTTTGTTTTGTTCTCTTTAAAATTAAAAAAAAAAAAGAAAGAAAATTGGTGAGAAAGATGGGTTATTTTTTTTTTTCAGCAAGGGAGAGGATTACAAGGGAAGACAATGGCAATGTGTCACTTTGTAATAACTTTTTAAATGTATATACTTACTGCAGTTTTCAATCAAATCTCATAAATATTTTGACAAGTGAAATTTTGAAAATTTCCTTATTCTACACATGTAATTATAGTTTATCTGTGCAAAGAATCCTAAATTGAAAATCATCTTTTATATTAAAAAAGCAATGCTTTCTTGCCTTTTTTCTTGATATTTCTATTAATATCTTCTATATTTTTAGTGTTCTTTTTCCTTCAGAATTTTATTAATGGAACATCTGATGTATAGGTTCAATAATTTTATTATTCTTATTTACATGTATCTTGTTTTGTCTGTACTTTACTTTTGAGATTTCCTTAACTTTATCTTCCTAACTGTACACTGATTATTTAAACTCTTCTTTTTCCTCCTCCTCCTCGTCATCATCATCATCATCGTCCACATCCAGAATCAAACCCAGGACCTCTGCAGTGAGCTACATATATTCCAGCCTCTTCCCTTTGTAACACAAGTCTTGATAAGTTGTCTAGGCTGGATTCAAACATCCAATTCTCCTGCCTCAGCTTCTATGTGCTGGAATTACAATCCTATGTCACCACAAGGGGCTACATCCGAGCTTTTCTTACAGAGAAATTTCTCTAACCTCCTGAGTAGGAGAAAAAAGGCTGATTTTTAGCATTCTGAAAATGAAGAAAAAGGTCAAAGATAAAACAAAAAGACAGAAAGGATCTACATGAGAGGCAGATTTTTTTTTTTCTGTTTTGGTTTTTCCTGTGGCTGCAATCTCTTCAACTAAGTCACTGAACACTGGAGTTTCATACATCTCTGTCATGGGTTTTGTCTATGCCTTGTATTAGACTATCTGGCTAATGAGCTTCTTCTCTGTTTCATAAATCAATGAGCATCCTTAATTCTACTGACAATAACTGATACTTCAGTCCAAACAGTCTAGCCCTTGATTGATAATCCAAGAACCCATATGAATCTCAGACTTCCGAGATACCACACATTCAACATACCAGAAACTTAACACAGTCATTCCTTTCAAGCCTCTAAAAGGTCCTGATGATTCTTAGTTCATGCATTTTACATGAATTCGTAAAACTGTACAAGCCTGGGTTTCATTCTTGCTGTCTGCCTGACCTCCATCCATCATATTGATCCTCAGTCCTATTGATTTTTTTCTCCTACTGGTTCAGAAAACCACCACTTCCTCATCTCTCCCCATAACCATCTTGTCCACATTCCCATTCTCCACAACTAGCACTCCTCCGACAACCTACCGCCTGCTCTCTGTCTCCAATATTACACTTTCACCATTTCTCCACAGGACATAAGGGTCATCTTTACAAACACGGGTGAAATCAAATTGTTATAGTTCCCTATAAAAACTATTGATCTCAGGAAAATCACCTGAACAAGGCTCAGGTAGGCTATAAAGTTTAGCTCCATTTTTCTCTCTGGGCTCATGTCTAACACATTTTAGTTCTCTCTCAGAGCTTAAGGAACACTGGCTTTTTTCTTTTCATGAATGTTTCCCACTCCTTCCTCGCACCTCCACCTGGCATGCACTTTCTTTTTCTCTTTGCTGCATTTATCACCCAGCTTACATACCCCATCTCAAGAAACCTCTGGCCCACCCCCTGGACTTACCAATTCAGCAAACTTCCCCGAGTTGTATTAGTTACTGATTTGTACATCTACCAGGAAGTTAGTAACACTTATGACTTGTGTACTTTTCATCATGCATGCTGTTTCAATAAAAAGGTTTTTTTAAATTCCCCTAAGACCAGATAAATCATCTTTATCTAGCAATCAAAGTTATAATTACACATGTATTTATGTGATTCATATACTTCTAATAGCCTGTAAGCTTCCAAAGGACAGGGACTTAGTAAAGTTTTGTTTGACACAATGCCAGACACATATAGAAGACACAAAATAAACATTTTTGAGTGTAAAGATGGAAGCTAGCAGGTGTAAATACATCTACTGCCAGAAAGCATGGTGTTGTTATTTCCTTAGAACATAAATATTTATATAACTATGTTTCAGGATACTGATAAACCCTGAAAATTATATGAAAATGTTTGTGCATACTTAATTATGTACCCTTTTTTGATTAGGGTGAACCTGACATTTTGTCAGATTCTCACAGGGTTCAATTACTTGAAAAAATTAGAGACCACTATGCTAAACTCATCCAGAATTTGATAGTTTATCTCCATCTCATGACAAACTGGCAAAATAAGAAATTTTGATACCTTTTGTAAAACACATTTATCCTAGTATCCAAAGCAAAACAGAATTTCCTATTATAAAATTTAAATCCTTGAGATTCTTCCATGCTGATGACAAATCTCAGTTTTAAATGCCAGAACTAATCCTTCTACGTAAGGACTTGTGCCAAGGGGCACAGTAAATGCATGTGAAGACAGAACAACACTGACAAGGAGGGTTCTATTCTATTCTACTCATAATTCTATTATTCTATATATGCAGTCCTCTCTACCACTTACACACTGCCCAACACACACACACGCACACACATACACACATATTCTATTCATAATAGTACAATGCATGTTGCCTCTTATATGTCAACAGACAGCAACAACTAGTCCTCTCAAAATGAACATGCCCAGAAAGAGATCTTCAAGGGACTCACAGAACAGAAAGAATGCCCCATGTTCATTCAGGCAAAAGATTCTCTTCCCAGGAAATTAAGATAGTGTTTCCCTGAGTCCAGGGGAGTGAATGAGTCCTGTATTCACTGTCCACAATTATTTCTCTGTTTTACAGAAAACCAGTAGAAATGTATCTCAGACTACAGAAGTCATTAAGTCCAGACTGAGGGATGTATAAACTCCAAACAATTTCAAGCAATTAGTTGGAAAAAACAATGTAAGTTTTGGCGTATTTTAGCACAATTTAATAAATTCACTTTCAAATATATTAAAATCAAAATGACCATCTACTTAACATGTGTAATTTTGGGGGTTTTTGCTTTTGTTTTTGTTTTTGGTACCGGGGATCAAATTACAACCTTGTGCCTTCCAGGCAGGTGCTTACACCGCTGCGCTAAATCCCTGGCCCTTTAACGTGTGTAATTATTTAGGGAGTGCTGACAATTGCACTAATAATTAATGATGAAAAGCTATAAAAATCTATCCACTGTAATCTTAGCCAAGTCCTTAATATATGCAGTCCTCTCTGCCACTTACACTCTGCCCAACACACACACACACACACACACACACACACACACACTCACAAATGCACTTCCACAATACTGCCCCTTGGTTTTAAGTGTTTCCCAGGTTGAACTCGCCTGTAGCATCCCAAGGAAAAAGCTCAATAAAGAGCAGAGCCATATTTAAATGAGAGCTCATCATCCTCCTCTTTTTCTGACTGTTAGACATGGATACAAATCCCAGATGTGCCACAAAGGACAGGCTAATGCCGTGTCTCTCACAATTTTCTCAACTGTGAAAGTGAGATGACAATGCTGGCCGAGTATTCTTCACTGATAATCTGCCCCATCTTGCCCCATATGAACACCCTCTTTCCTGCCAAGTCCGGAAGCCTGAAGATTGTGTTCCTGGACTCCCGTGCCAGCTGAGTTCTAGAGAGCACTCAGGTAAAACGTGAAGGTAGGAAAAAAGCAGAAGTGATCTGGCAACAACTGTGGCACCAACACCAACGTTCCTGAGAAGCAGGAGGTCCGCAGTGTCGGCCAACTGGGGCACCTGCAGAAGACAGCAGGAGCGGGTGTTGCCCAGTGGTTGTTGCTTAGTGGGGCCAAGGGCAGCACAAGTGCAAGACAGTCAGCTTGAAGGTGAAGCAGCTTCGGTCTCTGGGTAGCACTCCCCTCCTTGTGTTCCCAAGCTGATGGCAGTAATGGCCGCTAGATTTCTTGGTAATACTACTCTGCCCTCTGTGTCCTAAATCCACTCACATCTTTGTATCAATCCTTACCTAATCCCTCTCTGCTGGAAATGCCAGTTCCCAAAAGGTTAAGACGAGGACCAAGACAATATACTGCAAAGAATGCTCAGTACTTGGAACACAGTAAATACCAAACAGATGACAACTATCCCCCATTGTTCCTGCTAGCCACCTTCTAAGCTTCCTCTCCTCAGTCCCCCTAGGTGAAGGCGATGTAGACACTTCATAACTATCAAAAGGTTTCAGTGAAGTTGGACTCAAATTTCAAAATGGTAAGGAGCAAGATAAGGAAATCAATACAATTAGACGTTAGCAAATGAGGAAGGCACAACATGTGAGCACGTAAGAGGGCAGTAAGAGAGAAGGGCTTTATTCTAAACTCATGGTGCACAGTCTTTCTTTTTTTTTTTTTTTTTTTTTTGTCTTTTTCGTTTTTATCGGTACCAGGGATTGAACTCACAACTGCCTGCTTGCAAGGCAGGCGCTTATGCCACTGAGCTAAATCCCCAGCCCCACGGTGCACAGTCTTGATGGTTATCTCACATTATAATCTAAACTTTTTATAATTATAAAAGTCACTTCTAAAATACCAATTATATGGGCAGTCAAAGTAAAACTAGTTCTTATAGTGCAGGAGAGGAATTCACCCCTAAGCCATTTCTGCATTTTCCTGCCTTGTACCAATCACATTGCCCAAGCCTGCTTTGTGAAGTTCAAAATTTCTAGATAAAGACTTTTTAAAAAGCTAGGCATACACACAAATAAAATCAGACACGTATGCTGATCTGCTATGTAAAGTATAAGAGAATTCATTTCCTCCTTGCTTTGAAAGGGGTTTCCCTTATGTTTGGTAATAGTATCAGTCTGGAGGGCAAAGCACCCAAGCTCAGCTAAGAATGCTTACCTGTAAATGTGGTTTTATCCTTCCAGGCAGAAATATTTAATATATACTGTGTAATATACATACTATACATGTGGTTAACACACATTACTTATAATATATATTTTTAATATATCAATTAAGACATAGAAAGTAAGTCTGTATTTTCTGTAATTGTTCTTCCAAATTCTGGCTGTTTCAGAAGAAAAGTGCCTCAAGATTTCTAGCTTCCTTTATCTGGAGACAAACAGTAACAGCTTGATGAGAATCACCTGTGCAAGCAGCGTCCTGTGCCTGGGACCGACCTCCGCTGTGCTCAGCTTACCTTCTCCTCACGGGCTGCACAGCGTCATTGTCGCTTCCACAGGACGGGTTTCGGCGACGCGGGCAGGGGAACTTTGGTGATTTAGCACGGTCATTGGGAGAGTTGTAGAGCCCACTGGAGTGGAAAGGGAATGGTCAACATGTCAACTTGGAAGGTTTTACAAGAACTATGAAACAGGAAAATTATCATTAACGTGTCACAGAGATAGAGGTTGCAGAAATAGCTCACTCTAAACCAACACAATGACCTTTCATTGTGTCCTTCTCATGTCTTTTCAGGAAAAAGTCTCATTTAAGAAACACTATTGATTTCCACTTCAGAAACCCACCACCCCCCGCCCTGCCCCAGTACCACTGATTCAGGAACCATGCCCAACCACCGCCTGCGGCAGCATCCCTCTATTCAGTGAGCTATGCTTGCTAACCCCTTTGCTATTCCTCAGTTGTATAAATACAATGATTCTCTTTACCTCTGGGGGCCATTTTCTTCCCATGGTGCATGAGATTTGCTTCTTTGGGTATCGGGACTGTTTTCATTCTTTGCTTTTTTAAAGCTTCAATTAAAAAACAAAATAATTAAACAGAAAACAAAAGGAAGTTAACTCGTGCATTGATTTGTTCAGTAAAATTCTTTAACAACTAAGGCGTGTGTGGGTGTGTGAGGGGAGGTTGTGTTTTCTATCTGTAACTCATTCCACATGAAGTGGTTTCTAGCAAATACCTTTGGGCCTCCTCCCTTCTGCCAGTTTTATTGCTGTAAGTCAACAGAAGCCAAATATGTAGATTCCTAAGAAACTTTCAAAAGTATCTACACCAAGATAACCACAAGGTCCAGAAAGAGAGCAAGATGAGGTGAAAGAAGTGGAGGCTCCTCTTTACAACAGTGGTCAGAGATTCCTTGGCTCTGGACGTGGGTCTGACTCCGTGGTGCCCAGGCAGCTCCAGGAGGCTCCGGCTTCCCCCCATGACCTTTCCCCAGCTTCCGCTCTACCTTGGCTTCCTCCTCCGACCAGAGTGACTTTCAAATGCTATTTCCTGATCTAGTATCATCTTTCTGTCCTAAGAATGTAAATATAACTGAGTTGTTATTCAATCGTGACAAATTGTTTCTGAAACACACAGGGAGACACAGAGTCACCTGTGGACAGAGAAGTGGAACTGCTCAATTCCTCAGGAGGCTTAGCAGCTGAGAAAGAGCGATCCAACCTCTAATCCACTAGGAGGCCTGGCTTTTTGCAGGCTCATCCATATACTGTCCAAAAATACAGCTGCAGCAACTTCCTGATAACAGCTCACAAAGAGGAGAAAGGAAAAATGACAAGGTCATTTCAAAAGATAAATTTGTATTGTAGGGCCAAGTATCCATATAGGAATTAATATATTTCTATAAAATGATATACCTGACAAAGGCATATATCTCATTCTTATTAGAGAGGAGGTATGTTTTATATATAAATATGCTGTTTTTATAGAGGTTTAAAAAAACTTCTGAAGATCACATTTCCAAAATAAAATCTTACCTTCTGAAATGAGGAAAAGTAGTAAACATAGTGGAGATAGAATACAAAGTAGAAAATATGCATTTAATCAGAAAGGAAAGACAGGAAGAGAAATAGGGAGTTGGAAAAAACTGAGAGAATAGATGGGAGTTAAAAAATAAAGCTCAGGTAGTAGGTTGCTTGCATTTCACCTCTTAAGCTATTTTTCACCTAGAGCCTGAGTGGGAATTCAGCAAGCCTGCAGGTACCATCAGCAGGAACGGCTGCACAGGGAATGGACTCTTGCATATTCTAAAAGGCACGGGACATGAATTTCATGGAAGATCACTGAGCTCAGGTGCGATACACTATATGGATACTCTATACATGCAGGCAAAGCTGGGTCTCTCCACACCTGTGAGATTGACCCAGGAAAGCACAGTAAATCAAAGTTTTCAAAGGTAAAGAATGTATCATTCTAAAAAGAGAATATGCTAAGAAAATGTCTTAGAAATATACCAAAAAAAGAATGTAGACAAAATCCTTGGGGAGACATAACTCTTCGATTCCTCATTATATTAAAATTATTTTGCTGAGGAATTATAAACTATATTCCTCAAAGTAGCCACAATCCAGTGGGAATGAACACACCATTATTTACAAACAAAAGGGACCAGATGATCTGAGATTCTTTCACAGTCACACATCAGATTGCTTAGATTTTTTTTCTATGATGTACTTTTTCTGTAGCAACAATGAGCCTATGAAAGCTGCTCATTGTATGTCTAAAATGCTATTCTGTGAACATAATTAAAAACAGAAAAAAATGACTCTGAAACAGTGTCTTAACAGAGAACAAGGCTGATCTTTCAGGGAAACAATCCATGTAATATATTAAGAGGTTTTTCCGCTAGGGAATGCCTCTGGGAAAACTGATGCAGAGGACCATGACAACTCTTCATACATATGCAATCACTGACTGTTGAGGCTCTGACACCTCTAAATGCTATAAATCCTCTTCCTGGGGCCACAGTTCAATGCTCTACCATAATGAACACAGTATATTAAACATAAATATCATGTACTTTATTTTGTAAGTCCCTCTGAGTCTATTATATCATGCCATTTTTTAAAAAATCGCGTGGAAAAAACAAATCACTTGGAATGTTCACTTTGCTGCTAAGAATACAGACCACAGATGACCTGTGAGTTCATCGTGCCATAGCAGTGAGAGCACTTTCTTCCATGAGAGAGGCAGATCCTGAGGTTTTACATTTCACTGCCTTTGAAAATATTCTTTGGACCAGAGATTATCTATTGGAGCCCATGGATCAAATATATTAGTCCATTATCTAAGTGAAAAAATTCTTAACTTTGCCAGTAGGAAAAACAGTTTTTACAACAGTATAGAGGTGTATGTTTCTTCAGTTCACTACACTGACCTTTTTACTGGTGAAGGTGCAATAATTTTCGTTGTTCCCATGTTTTCTCCATTTTCTATGTTTGCAGTTACCCGGCTGATGCTGTTTGAGCCTAGTAGGAAACACCGGGAAGAAAACATGAAGAGAGACAGAGATATGATAAAGAAAACACAAAGAAGCAGAATTATTTTTAAATGCAACTTTAGAGACACTGTGGCACATGCTACCAACAGATTGTAACTCCAAATAAATAATGAACCATCTGAGAACTCTGAGGTACTGTTTTCTGATACGCATTAAGCCCTCAACACAGCAAAGTTCCAGGGACCTGGGGAATGACTTTTGAGACTTGGTGCTATCTACGAAATTCTTGCCTTTAGAATTTTCAAAACAAGTATACATTAGTACCATACATTGTAATATAAAAGCAACATTCAGTTCTTGATAACTTTGGTATGAAGAAGTTTCTTGGCATATCACCACAACCCCCATACAAAATCAAACTGAACAAAAACAAAAACTTCAAACCTAAAATTATCCCAACTCATAATACAAATGGCAAAAAAAAAAAAAAAAAGTAATACTGATGGGGTCTGTATCACTCACATACAAAATAAGGTTTTGAAATGTGGTTTTTACACAAAGATTCCCCCAAACCTTAAAAACTGAGTTAACAGCTCCCATTCCACAGACTTGCATGTATGCTAGGTGGACCAGCAGAGGGAGCCCACCACAGATGCAATGTTGGAAATTCTGATCAAGATAAAAATAAGAAAAATGCTGTCTGGGAGGTTTGGATCCTGTTCTGGGCCAGAAGCTATAAGCTTGCAGGCGGGAGATGCGTGGGCTGTGGTGAGAACTCTTCTCCAGCATAGACACCCGTAGCCTCGCCTCATTCAGTTACGTCTACGTGGCGTGCAAACATGTCTTCCTCAGAACTCCTCTTATGGGAGGTTTATAGATAGTCTCGGACACAAAACATACTAATCACTAAACTTGGAGGGCTTGAGTCCTGAAGTTGGCAATCTAATAAAAACTAGCTAATATTTATTGAGCATTTACTCTGTGTCAGTTACTCTGGCAAGCTCTTCACGTGCATTTACTCATGTAAACCTCAAAATAATCCCATAAAGTATGTACACATTTTCAAAGTCAGGCTCTGACTAAGGGCCCATAGCTCAAGAGTGTCGGGACCAGCTTTGAAACTGGGCAGACTGGCTCCAGGGACTTAGCACTCAGTCACCCCCACACGTGCTTTCCATCAGCAGTCAAGAATGACCAACAACAGCTCAGAAGTCAGTTTTAAGTAAGAGTCAACTGGGAGAGATAAACTCTTCAGGGGATAAATGTCATCAATACCCAAGAAGGAGAATACCTGACAGCCCAAAACGAGAAAATTTCTTTGTCTCCTAGGTAAGCAAGACTGAAAGAAAACAGGAACATCTGAACACCCCCAAAGCTGGCAACCTCCCTCCACAGCAACATGGAAGCATGTTTGGCTACCCATTAGGAAGGATAAACGTTAACAAGTATAACTCGTTGTGGTTTATGGCTGGGTGCCCCCTCAAAGCATCGTGCAGTCATGGAGGTAGCTGAGTCTAGCATTTATGATTGGTTCATTGTCTAGCACTGGGATTGGCGATGTGAGTGCTGCACTCACCCAGAGGCAGGGAGGCAACATATGATATAAGAGAGGAAAAGTGGTGTCTTAGTTACTTTTTACTCGTCGCTGAGACAAAATACCTGATGCCCAAGTTGGGAAAGGAAAGGTTTATTTCTTACAGTTTTTGGAGGTTTCAGTCCACACTCAGCTCCAAGGCAGGTGGGCTCGGCTGGGCCGCAGTTCATGGCAGCCGCCAACAGCAAGGAGGAACCAGCAAAGACCAAAACACACCTTCTTCCTGCCATTACATCACATCCTGGCTCCACCCCTTTGTGGGTGGAGCGCTGACACCATCAATCCAAGCACTAGACAATGAACGAATAACAAAGGCACAATTCAAACTCATGAGCCTTGGGGCCACAGACATAAACCATGACAAGTGGTGTGTTTCCCTCTTTTTGCACTTTTCACTCTTGTGGCTTATGGCTGCCATGAACAGTTGCCTTGCAGCCATGCCATCCTGCTTTGGAATCAGCTGAGTATGGACTGAAACCTTCAAACATGGTAAGCTAAATCAACTTTTCTTTCCCAGTTTTAGGCATTAGGTATTTTGTTTCAGCAACAAAATAAAAGTAACCAAGACTCTCACACAAATAAAAAATGATGCTTTCAAATAAGAGTTCCAAAAACCATTATTCTAAGAAATGTAACATGGAATCGATACCTGAAATTTGTTTCTATTTTGGAATTCTGTGCTGGGGCCAATACAACGAACTGCATAATCCTGAATATAGGCATTAGAGAACAGTAATGTTGGGCTAAATTTCAGGAAGTGTAAAATCCATTCCCTTCAACTCCATGCGTATCAAACATCGATAATATCATTCGTTGTCTAAGGCACTTGTTCCACAACCACAAGACCACTAATAAAATCACAAGAACAAGCTCTCAAAACTGCAGGGACCTGTTTGAGATAAGAGTTGCTTTTCATACATAAGGTACTCTATGGGGCATAGCCTTGGACTGGTGGTAGGAGAGTTAATTAGCTTATGTCCCAGAGAGTAGGTGTGTCCTAACATTAAAAATCTTATTGTTCTCAGTAAAATTTATTTAAATGTGTTATTAAGTATGTATAACTGATTTATATTATAAATGAAAGGAATCCTCATGCAATATTTCTATTTTCCTAGCCTAAAAGGAGAAGGACACATCAGAAAGACCAATAACCAGCGCCAATAATGGGAAAAAATTTAATGGGAAAAATTTGAGTAAAGGTGAACACTGTGTTATAACCAAAGTCCTGTGCAATGACCTTAAGAATAAACCTAGGTTTGCTCCAGTGCCCCCCTCTTTAGACTGACTAATTTTCCTTTGTCTAACAACCAATAGCTTTGGGAAAGTGAGCTTGCTTAGCCATTTTCATCTAGTTTTTTTTTTTCCAAACAAGTATAAAAACTAATAAGCAGAGTCAGGTGCAGTGGCACACTCCTGATACCCCTTCACTCTGGGAGGCTGAGACAAAGACTGGAAGTTGGAACCCAGCCTGGGGAACTCAGTGACTTAGGGAAACACTCTCTCAAATAAAAAATAAAAGAGTCCTAACTCAGTGAAAAGGCCTTGAGTTCAATCCAAATAGCACCAAAAAAGAATTAATAAATAGCTAGCCAGTAAAACTAAATATTTTTAAATAGAAAAATTATAAATTACGTAACACGTTTTATTAAAAAAATCTGTTTGGTTACTCATAATACCTAAATTATAACTTTTATGGTGAAACTCCAAATGGATGGTTTTCCAAAAGAATTTCAGAAGTAAAAACAAAAAGAAAAACAAGAAACATGTAAGCTCCCTCACACACACACACACACACACACACACACACACTCACAACAGTTAAGGCCAGACTCTGACAATATACTGTGCACTTTCAGGACTAATTTACTAACATAACAGCCTCACAGCTCCAAAATACAGCACAAATAAGACAAAATATTTTCAGTAACACAATATAATTCCTGGTTCTTTACATTCAAAATTGTAAACTACACTCACCATTTATACATACAGTATGTTTACATAGATTCAAACATCTGTTTTTTTTTTTTTTTTGTCTTTTTGCTTTTTATCGGTACCAGGGATCAAACTCACGACTGCCTGCTTTCAAGGCAGGCGCTTATGCCACTGAGCTAAACCCCCAGACCCCCAAACATCTGTTTATATGTATTCTCTTACTCTACAAATATGTTACCTAGACAAGCATCGGTTTTTTAAAGCTTTACTAAGAAAAAAAGACCACAACACTAAAAAGCATTAACTTTCTGAGAGTTCTTCTAAAGTATCCATTCATATGTTAACTTTAGACAGCCCTAACAAGGCAATATTTATTAGCTTGCTGATTTTTGGTTGGTTGTTTGTTGCTGTTGTTGTTTGGGGTTTTTGTTTTTTTGGGTTTTTTTTTTGTACTGGGTATCAAACTCATAACCTCTCACTTGCCAGGCAGGCGCTTGGGCCACTGAGTATATCCTCAGCCCTGTTGGTCTTTTCTTTTAATGTATGAGTTGTTTTTTCTAAACTAAAACCTCAGTTTTCAGGTTTAGTTGCAGTGCTGGCACTCTGCGATAAATAAGTGGGGTTTGGGTTGCAGTTCGGGCACTCGGTCTCTAACAGGTTCATCATCACCAGCTTACAGCTTCACTAGCAGCCTTCTGGTTTGGCACAGTGGCGCATGCCTGTAATCTCAGCTACTTAGGAGGTTAAGGCAGGATGGTTACAAATTTAAAGCCAGCTTGCACAACTTCGCAAGACCTTGTTTCAAAAATAAAAAGGGCTGCAGAGGTAGCTGAGTGACACACTTGACTAGCAGGTATGAGGCTCTGGATTCAATTTCTAGTAGCCTATGTATGTATGTATACACACGCACACACACACACGCACGCACACACACGTAGGCTTCTGCTGTAACACACTGCTCTTTTACTCACAGCCACAGAGTATGACAAAGATCTGCTGCTGACACATGATTATTAAGGCTTCTAAGTAAATCCATACTCTGACTTAGACAGAGTAATAGTTACTCCCTTGACACCATTTAGGTTTGGTCAAGAGTGCCAACTCAGTTTACATATTGTTCACATGAAGGAGACAAGGGGCCTTATTTCGAGAGACACGCATTCTTAGAAAAGCAAGTTTACCGGGGACTGCTCCAACTCATCAGTGAACCAAATGGAGCCCTCGGCCTGAGCTACTTGTTTCTGGACTGGCAGGCATTAGAGCCAACTCTGGGCCCCCGTTGAGACCCCGCAGCTTTCACGGAACTGCAGCGCCAGTGTCCATCACTCCCAGGTCCTGTCTGTTCACTTTTAACTCACTATATCCAAAAGCTTCCTGCCGGCGTGCATCAGACCACTGCGGGCTTTTTGTGACTAGATCCTATTCATGTTTGAGTGCCTTTGTGTTAAGTGACCCTTCCTTGCGGGAAGCGTGGATGTCAGAAACAGAATCAACTTTCC